TTTGATCTCTTGATTTCCTTTCAGTTTGTCGCATAATTACTGTCATAATATCTCCCTTCTTTTGATTGTGACTTGAGAGAGAGAGAGAGAGAGAGAGAGAGAGAGAGAGAGAGAGAGAGAGAGAGAGAGAGAGAGAGAGAGAGAGAGAGAGAGCTAGCTAGCAATGATACTGTCATTTTATGTTTTGTTTTCATTAAAAGTTCTCAGTACAAAAGTGTGCGCTAATATTTGTACGACTACGGAAAAGTGTACGAGACACGAATCCGTTTCTGCTTGAATATCGGCCGAACGCAGCGGCCTGATTAATGAAAACGGCCGAGGATAACGAAAGAGAATCGGCGATCAAACAGAAACCTTTGAGAAAGTAGGTGAGGTGAGGTGAGCTTTGTGAAATCTCAACGACTCACCTTACGAGCAAGAAAAGTTTCGTCGTTTAATACGTTAAGCTAGTGCGCCTGGTTAAGAATCATGTTTCTCAGTTCGCTCCCGTGTAACATTAATCCAACTTAACGTAAAGCTGCGACGGCCGGGGGAAAGAAGTACACGTTACACGTACACGTACGATCGGGTCACCTACTAAACGTGATCCCGGCTCCGAAAACAGACTCGTTCCCACGCTCGACGGGCTCGAATTTTCCCCGAGAAGAAATAATTTGCGTTATGAATTTTGCCCGAGAAGAAAACGACGCGGCCTCTCTCGCGCGAACTGCACTGACAAGAGGAGTTTCACAACTCCGGTGCGGTGCTCTTCATGTGAAGTATCGCGCGTACTTATTCGATTTAAATCATCTCTTCCGGATGTTATAGATAACACGAAAGTTTTAGAAGTTTGCACGGCCTCCCTTGCTGAAAGCAAGGGAGATGGCGTTAGGTAAATCTTCTTATCGCGTTCATACCAAACTTTTGATAGCGCAGTGTAAGATTTCACATTCAGGCTGATCAAATATTTAAGTCGCATGAATTACCAATATTATCCTGTACGCAAATTTCAGATCTTGGCCTTGTCTCGGAACTTAATAATGGAATGTCTTGGTAAATTAAAAAAAATTAAAAATCTTAGCAATTAAAAAAGAATATTTTTCACGGAACGATTAACTACATTCATGATTAGAATGTAAAATGTTTGTGCTTATAGTAATATGATTCACGTACGGGCATTTTTTGAAAATGTTATAAAGCAAAACATTTAATCACAGTCGTTTCACCAAGAAATCTCCGATAGGTCTTCGACCGCGATAAAGAGAGCAAAAAGTTCATAATAAATATTGAAGTTTGCAGCCGTATTATACAATGTCGTTGCATCGTGTAACGAAGTTACACGTGCTGGGAAAGATGAAATAGAGATGTGGCGAAGGAATTTTAATACAAAATTCCACATATCGCAAATTCTTTCATTGTGCCATTGCGCACGTGAAGCAGCTGGCCGAACGTCCACGGACGGCTGCGGGAAGACTTTCTTTGCGAAGATTTTGCGCGCTACCGTCGGACGTGAACTGTAATAAACACATCTGCAACTGCAGCGGAACTCCCGTCGAACTATCGACAAACCGTTGTGAGGAGTAACATTTGTCGCCTTGCTGAGATTATAAGAGAAAGGTGTATTCGGAAAATGAACATATCTTCACATGTGTAAATGTATCAATTAATTTGATTAGTACGGCTTCAAAGAAAAATTAAATTATTATAAATTGATTCTACAATTCAGCGAAATTACTCTTTCGTTGCTTTTTGCAATTTTAAGTCTTGCGAGTATATACTATAAAATTATATTTGAGTTAAGCAGATCAACATAGAAGTTCGTACGACGAGGCGTAATAGAAAAGTAGAAAATTTGATTTACTTTAGAAACTCGAAAGGCATATTTTTGCTTAAGGAAGACACTGGAATTCAATATATCACACACAATACACAGCTTTTTGATTCTTTGGGGATATAACGGCATAAGTAACCCATATCAAAGATCTAGAACAGATTTGTTGTACCCAGGAGATCGTCAAATCTAATTTACTCTTCTTCACTGTTCTCTCTCGGAAGCGCGCGCTTCTCTTTCTCCGATATGTATACCTATATACATCTATATATCTCCGCTGATTTTATCTGCTTTCGGGGATCATCAGCTTGGACGAATCCCTCTTTGGAAAAATCGCACGATCTCGCTCGGATTTTTACAACGGGGTTTCTCCGTACTCGAGAAACGTGCACCGGGGCAAGGATAAGGAGCATAACGGGCGGGAGGGAAGGGAAGGCGGAAAGACGAATATCTGCAGTCAATCGCCGCTTCAAGAAACGCCTCGGAGCGAAACACGCCGGTACGTCTTGAATCAAAATAGGGGTAGACGGCGCGTGTCGCGAATCTGATCTTGGATTTCGGTTGAAGGCTCCATTGGAATACCGTTGCCGTTTCGTACGTCGAAGAATCGCGGAAGAGAATGAATAGTTACCCCGGCGGTATTGCGAAGCGCAAAAGCCGAATATCGCGAAGCGATCGGTATTTTCAGGAGTACTTCCGAAGTAGAGACGAATATATACGCAGACGGAATCCGCGTGTGTGTACATAATATAGGGTGCATATAGCCTACGCCGGATATCAGATAACCAGCCATCCTTACTGTTTAGGCAAAGAAGAAAGATATAAGGCTCGATTTGTAGAGATGCGGAAATTCGTCGTGAATTTGTCATCCTTAAAAAGTTATGATATAGGAATATATTTCAGCAGGTTTGATTATGCGGAGAGAACACAATACATATATTCGACAAATAATATATCTGTTTAGAAAGAAACTACAATTTTCTTCCTATGTATTTGATTAAATTATATATCGATTTTTTCATTAAGATATTGCAATATTGGATTATGCCCTAAATGTCTGAAAATGAAATTAATATTTAAGGAATTTATTCTGGGATCGAATGATAAAATAATATCAAATATAAAATTTGAAATATTTTTTAGATGAACAAAAATAATATTTTAAAACATTTTTGTAACGTGAATACATACAAATATGTCCGTTGTAAAATATCCGAATGGGTCGACATGATTTTTCCTGGCAGAATCTGAAATCTGAAATCAATTTCCTGAAGTAGAAAAATTTATGTTTAGAACAAATCTGTGCACCTACATAAAACAGTCTATATTTGACTTTAATAAGATTACTCGATGTATTTAAAGAAAAGAAAGAGGATTGTATGAGGGTCGCGATCAGTGCCTTCCGTTTATATAGCAGCTTGTATCGAGTTTGAGAGCCTATCGAGAGCCTGAAATAAAATTTTAATTTATCGTTTAATAGGATTTTTATGAGCCATTTCGGGAGAGCCATTTCGTATCGCGAGACGAGATCGGCCGGTTTCGACGTAAAGGGTACGTAACGCTGTCGTTCGGCAGAGGAAAGGAGCTCCACGAGGGTTTCTCTAAAAACATTCCTCGAGGGAAAACCGTAGGAGGAAACAATTTATCGAGCCTGGCGAATGATTCACCGTATGCCGGCTGGCAGTGCGAGCGCGCGCGGCAGTGATATATCGCGTACTTAAATGATACCTATGCAGATCGTGATCCCTCTCGGGAAAAAAATGTAAAAATAAAATCTCACGCACGAGAGGTCAGGCCCGCGCGTTTACGCGTCACGCCATTCGCGGAGCGTGACGTATATTTTTTTTTTCCATTGAAAATCCGATTATTGAATTTCGTCATCGCCGAATGTTTTTCAAAACGGATAGAAAAAGGGGACAACACTCGCGGACCTGAATACGGGATTGTATTTACGATGTCGAGTCTCGCGGCGACGCACGTTTCGTCTTCCGAATAAGAGTCGCGGGATATTCTCTCTTCACCTTAAGTGGCATGAGTGTACACAGTATACACATCTATTTTGTTAGAATTCTGGGGGTAGAAATATAATGGATCCCTCTCTCTCTCTCTCTCTCTCTGTCTCTTTCCGTCTCTTTCGGCCCGCGGCCTCGATGCTCTTATAATGCGGCATTCATGCACGGAGCAGCACACGGAGAGAACCGTTCTTTTCTAATTTCACGGTAGAGCACCGAGGGTAATAGTCGGTCCCCGGCAAGTCGTAATTGAAAATTTGCATCCGACGCGCGGACAATCGCTCGAGGCATTTCAGTTCGCTCTATAACAATAAGATACAGTGTAAACTCATTGGATAGATAACGCGCGATATTTTTAATGAGACCGAATGTTAATCACGTCGTGGCAGCGTCGCGCCTTCGGCATGTTTGTATAAATTTAAATCTCATACACAACCCCCCCATCTCGCGAACCCCAAATGTCATCGAGCGAAGGGATTCCGCGCGCGCTTTCGTAATCACTCGCGCTGTCGTAACTCCTCCAAAATACACATTAACGTACACCCGTAAACCTTCAAAACAAACTGACATGCGTATACACATAATTATTTGGATCGTTTGTAGCGTTTCTCCCCTGCTTTTGTGTTTGCCGTGTTTCCCACCTATAGCAAATAATCCCACCTGGCAATAGAGGTGAGTTAATCTTGCGAGCAAGTCGGACTTGAACGGTTGTCTCCTTACGTGTAGTAGTGATCTTTCGGAATTAGATTGTTCCAATCACGGATTCTATCAGGAATGTAATTGAGTTCCGTAGAACCTTCACGAGGAGAAATGTCTCTTGCGGTAGGTTTTTAATTTTCAATATTAAACGCTTCGAAAATTAAATTGGATTGACCTCGCGTCATGTCGAACGAATGTTTTTTTTTTCATCGCGACGCTTCTCACGAATAATCGCTAAATACACGCGAAAAGATATCTCTTTTTTGTATTAAACGGAACTAAATTAATTGATTGATTATCTATGAATTTTTAGAAGATCGTTTGAATCGTTCGAATTACAATATAATGCAATCAAGATAGAATCGTAAAAGAAAACTGTTTCGTTCGTGCGAAAATATCCGCATTTAAATGCAAGAACACGAAAGCGGAAAAATATTTCCTGTAATTGCAAATAGTAGTTGACGGAGAGAAATAAAAAATTATACTAAAGCAAAATGCGTTATATATATGTATACGTCGTCGTTATTTTTACAGCATTTCATAATCTTCCGTGCGATCGTACTTTCATTATTTTTTCAACATTTTATTATCTTCCGTGACGATCGTACGTTCCGCCGTATGTGAAACGTGACGCCATTTACGATCGACGTCAAACTGACCTCATGAGGAAGTAGTTACGTCTCTTTCAAATTGCGACCGCATAGTAGTCGGAGGTTAAATTACTTCGTAGCGTACTCTCCAGTTTATCGGGCTACGTGACATAAGCGAAGGCGTATGTATGATCCCCTCCGTTTCCATTTGCGTTCGCTATCCTGCGACATCGGCACGTAACGCGCGCGTTAGACATGTGCCGAATGATGATCCGGTCCGGATGGATGACCCTAAGGGTTGGCCGAGGCGAGAACGTGGCGAGGTCGCGCCTCGTAATTTCTCTCGCTGCCAAAAATCCGCGCATTGTTCTCGCACCTCGCGTGTCCGCCATTACACGACTCGGCGAGTTTCGTGTCCGGCATGAGATGAGCTCGTTCTGCGCCGTCTGCGAATGAAAAAGAGAGAGAGAGGAACGAGAGAAAAAGAGAGAAAGAGAGACCACGCCGGAGAGGGACGGTCAGGTCGCCGGATACTCGATCATCGGAAGGGTCGCGCGGCAGTTGCAATTCCAGTAGTGCGCCCCTTTCCGCCTCGATCACCGCGTCCTTTCTTTCTCCCTCTCTATTTTTCGTGTTCTTGACGAGGTAAAGAGGTCCGTCGGTTTTTGTGCGCGCCCTCTCATTTTCCTTCTAAATTGCTTCTGACGTTAGACGCGGCTGACAATAGCCCTCTTGGATACACTCTTCGCCCAATTACTGCGCTATTTACAAGAATTATCTCGTTCCTTTACTCTTCTCAATTTATTTACTTAAACATCAAGCTACGAGCTCGTACGTGTATAATATCTTATTGTAATCTAATTTGCAATTTTACTATTTGCTATTTTACATTGTACTTACAGATTCGTTCATTTGTTAATTTACTCGTTCACACCGTATATATTGTAACATCTTTTTCTTCCTGATAATCTTACTACTAATCATAACTATACAATAATTTTTACATTAATTTAATCATAATTTTAATTAATTTTATTAATTTACTAGTTTTTTATATTTACGATGAAATAAGACATTCAACCCGTGACGTTTCCTTTGTTCTCAATGACGTATCATTTTAATGCGCACCAGGAGGGAAGCAGTGGATTTTTTCCCCCGTGGAATACAATAAAATCGATCCGATCGTTCGCCTTCTTCCCGACGTCTCCCCGTCGTCCCCGTCGGCTTCTCCTTCGGCGCACGTTTTACCAGGCGTTTTGCGAAACAAAATACCCCGGCGCTCTTGTTCGTGCGGCTATCGCGTGGAGGCGAGGACGGGCGAGAGGACCGGATCGATAGCCGGCGCATGGCCGCAGGGGCCCCAACAGCCGTGGCACGGCTCCGAAAAGTTTTTCGCCGTACGCTGCACACGATTCACGGCCCTCGCTCGGCGCTCACAGATTGCGCCCCAGCCCCCGTTTGTTCGCTCTCGAAGGAGTCTCGTCTCCCGGCCAAACGTCTTTGTGGAAGTATCATTTGTAATTAGTCGAATTTTCTGTCGGATCCCCCTCGCTGACCAGGTCGATATGCCGTGCTGTGATAATAATATCCGCGATTTGCGGACGCAGTTAACGACTGCCCATTCTCATGCCTGCTCGCTCCCCGAGACATAATATGTCACCAGTGATTATGCGGATGTGTTTAATAACCGTTGGAATTTCTAGGGCTCCTAATAACCACCGGGGGATGTCCATTTGATTATCGGTGATACCTTAGGTGACCAATGGGATTAATAATGTAATAATGGGCAATCGCGCCTATATATATTCTCACTGATTAGTGGGTATTACGATTAGCATATATCGCATGGGAATATTTCAAGCTGCATCTCCTCACCCCCGGCTTTATATTCTGCATCTTATTATGTTACATCCTCGCTAATGAAACTATAGCGTAATGTGTCGCGGTATGATGATAGAGGCAATCTGTTATATGCAGGAATTGAAATAGCTCCTCTGCGGTAATATAACGATACGCACGTTACACGTATATAATGCATTTAAGTACGCTGTAATTTATTACATTTCTACGTAGCGCGTACGTATAATGTAACACGAATTGTTGTAAGTGTGTAACGAACTGTAACTGTTACTTGGAACGTAATTAATTTTATACATCTGACTTGGACTGAGTATTTTCGGAAATTTAAAATATATGGGAGCCTCGCGTGGTGTTAAAAACACTTTATTGCGCTCTGCCACGTGAAAATCGGTCTCGTGCGCAAACGCTTTATCGCCCAGATAAGAGGTAGCAGATCGTTCACCGCAATCCGACGCAGGGAGAGAAAGAGAATTTTAAGAATTCACTTGGGAATTAATTTCACAGGGCGTAAATCGCCGTCGGGCGAAAAATTATAAAGTTTGTCGTCCCGTAGTGCACGTACACTGTGGGCAATACAGTTTTTAAAAGGGCAGGTAGTGTCGCGGGTACCCTATACGCACCCCTTCGTGCGGTCTATTCTCAATCCTTAGAACTGCGCGACGAGGCATTAAGTTATTATTATCTGGGGCGGAGGATCTCATTATAGGGGCTTCCACAAGCCATAAACTTAAGCCGTTAGAATGAACCGTGTTGCCAAATGTGAAACGCGCGGCGGCTATCTATGGTCTGGCTGGCGTGCGCAGTTGATAAATAATGCATGTACGTCGCGCATGGGATTTACGTTCGATGGACAACTGGTGCACGCTCGCGGAGTGGCAATTTAATGCTTAACAAAAAAAAAATCGCGAGGCCGCTTAAAACACGTCCGTGAATTGCGGACACTGTGTGTCGCATTGTTATAGTGATACCCGCCCGTATCGCGTTTTCATTTATTCGCTTGTAATTTTTAAACAGCGCCCTTGCATTTCCAATGACGTGAATAAATCCGATAATGGGCATTCGAGCTCGAATCTGTTTACACCTGCATGAGGAAAATGTAGCCGTCGATATAAATATCATTGTTCAAATTGCATGTTTTCTCTCGCAATGTATTTTCACTAGTGTTTCATCTTATCGTTTCTCGATTTTCATCACAATTATTTTCATAATATCTTGGCATTCCAATTAAAAATATAATTATTTCTACGATTATTATTTTCTATTGCCACTTATTTCGGATTTGAAATATTCACAATAACAGAAATCTTTTACGATTCTATAATTTATACTGTTGCACGGAGAGAATTTTTTTTAAATTTACCCTGTAAATCATGTTAATTGTGGGACAATATAGTATTTAGGCAAATTTTACTGTGCTCTACAATAAGTATTTTACAGTGCACAGTAAAATTTACCTAAATACTATATTGTCCCACAATTAACATGATTTGCATGGTAAATTAAAAAGAATTCTCTCCGTGTAGACAAGTTATATCACTTTAACAATATTAATTAACTATTGCGTTTATCAATTTTTTTGCAAATTTTTGTTTATCTAACCGATACATTTAACTAATCTTAAAATGTCTAAACTGTAAAAAATATTAGAGAGTTGTAAACATCTTGCACTTCTTAGTGACGCATGACAGACGGTATTTGCATTCACGGTGCAGAATGCGGTTGCAAAGTGTTGTAAAGGGTCATGAAGGTAGTTTAATGGATTTCGATAAATTGCCGTGTGCTGCCTATCGGGCGTGAATCCCTTCGTTTCGACGCGCGCCGAGTACGTGCGAATTGAATCCGTTAGGTGACGTTGACGGGAAAATGAAAAGGATGATGGAAAACTCGTGTAAACAAGGAAATTGATGACTTTCGAGACGATCAAACAGGGAGATCCGTTCGCGTCGCGCGGCACCTGCGAAAAATCGCGGTATCCACCAGCATAGGTTCCGATGTTCAAAAGCGGAGAGTCTCTTTCACGTCGCGTCGTCACGATTACATTTTCTGGTTCAATTACACCGTCACCGAGAGACGTGGCGTAACGTTTGAAATGGCGACAGAGGAAAACGCGTTCCGTCCGCGCTAGTTCATCACGGAAACGAGGAGGCGCGATTTTTCTTATGTATTTCAAAAGCACAAGCATAAGTATCACGGGAATGTGCTTTTGAAATACATAAGAAAAATCGCGCCTCCTCGTTTCCGCGATGAACGTTAATAATAATTACGATTCGTGCGACGCGAAAGCGCGACGCAGCTGCGCGCGAGAATTCGAATAAGAGGCGATATTAATTACGATGCATAAATCGTAGGAAAATGCATGTTGCTTTAGTTAAGCTCCCGTGTGTTTCGTACATCTATTCTGTAATCAAGTACAAATGAAATTAAAATCGCGTGGGATTTATAGAGCCATTCCCATTCTCGCAAAAACGCAAATTCATATATAACTGATCTTTCTCTTTCTCTCTCCGTGCATTTAATAATCTCTCGTCACTAATTAATTTCCAGGCGAATAGATTTGCATCGCTGCTTATGACTTAGTTAGAAAGTGCATGCAGAATCTACAGCACAGTCCAAACACGTCGCTAATATTTGTATTATTTTCGAGAGATTTTCACGGGATCTCTTTCCCCCTGTCCACTCGAGAATATTCGAAAAGTTCGGTGCTCGAGGACGGCGAACGCCTTCCATATAGGCGCGTCGCTTCTTTACAGTCATTCCATCAAAAAAATTCCGGAGACGATGGGAAAACTTTCTTTCGCAACTTTCTCCCCGTTTACGTGTAGTGCGTGTAACTTTTAAAGTGGCTATTCAATCACGCGATAGGTCCGTAAACTGTCCGCCATCGATGCGCGCGATATCGACGCGCGTGGCTTGTCGTCCGACGTCAAGAATTTTGATTAGGGTAGTAAACAACGAGGGGGAGGGGGAGGGAGAGAGATCGCGAGATAGGGACAATCGGGACCTTTATCTACAAGAGCGCGGATAAATGAGCCATTTGTACGTACTAATGACGCGATCTATGTAACGGCCTTGTATACGCCCATCGCCGTTTCAGTATATTTTCGAGTCGACCCGCTAAGCACGCGCGCTACCGGATTATACCACCCACACAATTTCAGACATGCAATTATGCAATTAAGCCCTTGGCTCGTAACGTACACTCTACCCGCTCGAGAGGACTACTTTCTAACATGCAACCGTACTGCTGAACGTTAAGAGGGTAAGAGAGAGAGAGAGAGAGAGAGAGAGAGAGAGAGAGAGAGAGAGAGAGAGAGAGAGAGCCGCTCACGCGTAAATGCAGACGCGAGTCTGCTATGACTCACGTTAAACTGCGAAAGGATTTGGACGTGTACAAAGGATACGCTTTAATGTTCAATATTAAATCCCCGGGCGTGGCTGCAATTGCGAGAAACGGGGAGGGGTGTCTCTAGGTACGTTACATGGGCGGCATTCAGGACGACGAGAGCGTCTCCCCGAAGCTCGTCGCATCTAATAACCAGTATTATCCTGATTAGGTGTAATTATATCGCCAAAACGGGAAATTTATTAATGAGGCGAACATATCGCGCGGCAAATATATATCGCGCAATTAGCGCGGCAAAGGGGTCATCTAATCCGCTCTATGGCGCGATGCCGTGATAGCCATGAGCGCTTGAACTAACTAGCGCGCCCTTTGCCACGGTCTCTCCCTTTATCGATGTGCTCCGGCAGTACGTATACCGGTGGGCGTACGTTTGACTGGAAATCGTGTCTGCGCTCGTACCTCACGCACGAAGTTCCTAGGCCATCGCCGAGAATACCGCTTGACCCCGACAGTTCGTGGAACTATGCATTTGCTGGGGCGGCCATACATTACACGGGCACATCTTGGTTTCCGCTCCGCGAACGCTCGAGCACGATGCACTTGTACCCGAGAGCACCGATCCTCTTCCTCCGCCTTACACGCTAAAACACTATACTCCGTTGATGAGATCGTAGATATATTATTTAGATGTAATAACCTACGGGACGATCGGTTAAATAATACTAATACATATAATTTTACTTTTAATACACCGATATATTTGATTTGATTTTTAACAAAAGTAAAAATAATACTTTTAACGCGTACTTAATTTTCAAATACTAAGATTTTCCAATACCGTTAATTTCTTCTGGAAAAGGGACCGTCAATTATTTAGACCGTTAAAACACGCGT